CTTCCGAACAAGGAAAAAGACAGAAGTGACACCAGAATAAAAGACAGAAGCGACCCAAAAAAAAACACAGGTGACCAAAAAAAAAGACAGAATTGATCGGGCACTCCTCGAGGTGTAGGCGAGCAACCGTCCCAAGCGCCAGGCTTTCTTGCAGGTTCAGGCGGAAGGTTTGGAAGTTTTTGTGCGAAGCCAGGCAAGGGCTTGTGACAGGGCTTCGTGAACACTGGGGTCAAGAACAGGCTGCACTGAGGCTCCCTGCTGCAGGTCCACCCGCACGGCAATGTCATCGCCGGAGGCTACACAGAATCCTCGCTGGATGGCTACACCAGCGCCGGTTTAGGCGATGCTTTCCTCATGAGCTTTGACAGCACCGGCGCCTGGCAATGGACCGTGCAGCGTGGAGGCTCCAGGGTCGTTCCTGCAAGTTCGGTTGGAGTTCCCAGGAACGTGCCAAGAAGCGCCCGGACCCCAGCCCTCCGCAGAGGCTCCGGCTGGGACCGCTTAGAGGCCCTCCAGGCAGGGAGCGGGGGCAGCGAGGGAGCGGGGGGTCAAGTTCGAGGTGCAAGGCGCAATCGCAGAGCCCTGGATGCAGGTGCATCTGCAGCAGCAGTTCCCAGCAAGAAGTAGCAGTAGCTGTAGTAGCAGGGCTTCCAGAGGGGCCTTTACAAATCTCCGGATCGCCCCCAAGGATCGCAAAGGCAAGTCGCAAACTGTGTCAAAATTGGCCAAGAGCTGGAGGCACAGCAGAGATAAGGCTGAGTGGCAGCAAATGCAAAATTGGCGCCACCTGGAGATGCAACACATGCACAGCATCGCCAAAACCCGAGAATCCCACCTCGTTCGCGCACACCCTGAGGCCACAGAGGCTTTAGCGAACTGGCAACCGCCCCAAGCGCCAGGCTTTCTTTGCAGGTTCGAGGTGGAAGGTTTGGAAGATTTTGCGCGATGCCAGGCAAGGGCCGGTGACGGGGTTTCGTGAACACTGGGGTCAAGAAGAAGTTGCGTGCACTGGCTCCCCGCTGCAGGTCCACCCGGACGGCAACGTCATCGCCGCGGGCTGGACAGAATCCTCGCTGGATGGCTACACCCATTCCGGTTCAGGTGATGCCTTCCTCATGAGCTTTGACAGCACCGGCGCCTGGCAATGGACGGTGCAGCGAGGAGGCTCCATTCGTTCCTGCAAGTTTAGGCTGAGTCTCTAGGAACCTGCCACGAGAGCAGACAGCAGAGCAGCGCCCGGACCCCAGCCCTCCGCGCAGGCTCCGGCAGTGACCGCTTCCATGCCCTCCAGGCAGGGAGCGGGGGCAGCGAGGGAGCGGGGGGTCAAGTTCGAGGTGCAAGGCGCAATCGCAGAGCCCTGGATGCAGGTGCATCTGCAGCAGCAGTTCCCAGCAAGAAGTAGCAGTAGCTGCAGTAGCAGGGCTTCCAGGGGCCCTTACAAATCTCCGGATCGCCCCCAAGGATCGCAAAGGCAAGTCGCAAACTGTCAAAATTGGCCAAGAGCTGGAGGCACAGCAGAGATAGGGCTGAGTGGCAGCAAATGTAAAATTGGCGCCACCTGGATATGCAACACATGCACAGCATCGCCAAAACACGAGAACGCCTACAGCGAAGGCCGCCAAAGGCGTCTATCTGCCAAGAGCCGCCCCCGCCTGAGGAACCCCCAGCCTTCCGAGAGCTCGAGGATAAGAGGCGGATGCTTTTCGGATCTTTACGCCCAGCAATCCCGGGAGGGTTCTGACCGTTGGATCTGATCCGGAAATGATCTCTGGGGCTCATGGGCTAAGGCCATGCTTGGATACTACTAGGCTCCTACCTCGTTCGCGCACACCCTGAGGCCACAGAGGCCTTAGCGAACTGACAACCGTCCCAAGCGCCAGGCTTTCTTGCAGGTTCGAGGTGGAAGGTTTGGAACATTTTGCGCGATGCCAGGCAAGGGCCGGTGACGGGGTTTCGTGAACACTGGATCAAGAGGAGGCTGCAGTGGCTGCCCGCTGCAGGTGCACCCGGACGGCAACGTCATCGCCGCGGGCTCCACAGAGTCCTCACTGGATGGCTACTCGAACGCCGGTTCCAGCGATGGTTTCCTGATGAGCTTCAACAGCACCGGCGCCTGGCAATGGACCGCGCAGCGTGGAGGCTGCAGGGTCGTTCCTGCAAGTTCGGTTGCAGGAACGTGCCAAGAAGCGCCCGGACCCCAGCCCTCCGCCCAGGCTCCGGCTATGAAGGCTTCTATGCCCTTCAGGCAGGGAGCGGGGGCAGCGAGGGAGGGGGCAAGTTCGAGGTGTAAGGCTCAATATTATCGCAAGCGCATGGCATGCATGAGCGCTTGCATTTGCAGCAGCAGTTCCCAGCAAGAAGTAGCAGTAGCTGTAGCGGCAGGGCTTCCAGGGGCCTTTACAAATCTCCGGATCGCCCCAAGGACCGAAAAGGAACGGCCAAAAACTGTCAAACTGGGCCAAGAGCTGGAGGCACAGCAGAGAGAGGGCTGAGTGGCAGCAAATGTAAAATTGGCGCCACCTGGATATGAAACACATGCACAGCATCGCAAAAACACGAGAACGCCTACGGTGACGCTTTTTAAACGTGTGGAGGGCGGCCCAGGCCCAAAGATGACAGAGGTAGCGTAAATGATTTGTTTAAATCCCGGAAGTTTAAATATCTACTGCCCTGCTTCAGTCCGAGCCCTCCAGCCTCCAGCCTTCCAGCCCACCAGCCCTCCAGCCCTCCAGTCTTCCAGTCTTCCAGCCTTCCAGCCCTTCAGCCCTCTAGCCCTCCAGCCCTTGCCCTTCCAGGCGTCCAGCCTTCTAGCCTTTCAGCCTTACAGTCTTCCAGCCCTCCAGCCTTCCAGCCTCCAGCCTTCCAGCCTTCCAGCCTTCAGCCTTCCAGCCCTCCAGCCCTCCAGCCTTCCAGCCTGCCTTCCAGCTTTCCAGCCTTCCAGCCCTCCAGCCCTCCAGGTCTTCCAGCCTTCCAGCCTAGCCCTCCAGCCCGCCAGCCCTCAGGCTCGGCGTGGCAGTTGGTTGGAAGGCTGGCAGGCTGGAATGGCGCAAGGCTGGGGGAAAGGTTGGAGGGCTGGAGGGCTAGAAAGCGGAAGGCTGGAAGGTCGGAAGGCTGGAAGGTGGGAAGGCTGGTCCGAAGCTTGGAGGCTGCAAGGCTGGAGCACCGGAAGGCTGGAGGGCTTGAAGGCTGGAATGGTAGCTTGAAGGCTGGAGGGCGGGAAGGTTGGAGGGGTCGGCAGGCTGGCAGGCTGCAGGGCTAGAAGGCTGGAGGGCTGGAGGATGGGAAGGCTAGAGGGCTGGAGAAGGCTGCAAGGCTGGAGGGCTTGAATGCTGGAGGGCGAAGGATGGAAGGCAGGTGGCGGGGGAACGAAGCAAAACTTCCGGATGTCTGAAAGTTGGGCGGCCCAAAGCCACTGCTGTTAGATTGCAAATGATCTGTTTAAGCTGTTTAAATGTCCGGGTGTTTAAAACTAGGCGCCGTACAGTGCATACAGCAAAAGCCGCCGAAGGCCTCTATCTGCCGGGAGCCGCCCCCGCCTGAGGAACCCCCAGCCTTCCGAGAGCTCCAGGATAAGAGGCGGATGCTTTTCGGATCTTTACGCCCAGCAATCCCGGGAGGGTTCTGACCGTTGGATCTGTGCCAACAAGCGCGATCCGGAAATGATCTCTGGGGCTCATGGGCTAAGGCCATGCTTGGATACTACTAGGCTCCTACCTCGTTCGCGCACACCCTGACGCCACAGAGGCCTTAGCGAACTGACAACCGTCCCAAGCGCCAGGCTTTCTTGCAGGTTCGAGGTGGAAGGTTTGGAACATTTTGCGCGATGCCAGGCAAGGGCCGGTGACGGGGTTTCGTGAACAATGGATCAAGAGGAGGCTGCAGTGGCTGCCCGCTGCAGGTCCACCCGGACGGCAACGTCATCGCCGCGGGCTACACAGAATCCTCGCTGGATGGCTACACCCATGCCGGTTCAGGTGATGCCTTCCTCATGAGCTTTGACAGCACCGGCGCCTGGCAATGGACGGTGCAGCGAGGAGGCTCCATTCGTTCCTGCAAGTTTGGTTTGGGTAGCAGACAGCAGAGCAGCGCCCGAACCCCAGCCCTCCGGGCAGGCTCCGGCAAGGAAATCTTCTTTGCCCTCCAGGCAGGGAGCGGGGGCAGCGAGGGAGGGGGCAAGTTCGAGGTGTAAGGCTCAATATTAGCGCAAGCGCATAGCGTGCATGAGCGCTTGCATTTGCAGCAGCAGTTCCCAGCAAGAAGTAGCAGTAATTAGCTGTAGCGGCAGGGCTTCCAGGGGCCTTTACAAATCTCCGGATCGCCCCAAGGACCGCAAAGGAAAGGCCAAAAACTGTCAAACTCGGCCAAGAGCTGGAGGCACAGAAGAGAGAGGGCTGAGTGGCAGCAAATGTAAAATTGGCGCCACCTGGATATGCAACACATGCACAGCATCGCAAAAACACGAGAACGCCTACAGCGAAGGCCGCCGAAGGCCTCTATCTGCCAAGAGCCGCCCCCGCCTGAGGAACCCCCAGCCTTCCGAGAGCTCCAGGATAAGAGGCGGATGCTTTTCGGATCTTTACGCCCAGCAATCCCGGGAGGGTTCTGACCGTTGGATCTGTGCCAACAAGCGCGATCCGGAAATGATCTCTGGGGCTCATGGGCTAAGGCCATGCTTGGATACTACTAGGCTCCTACCTCGTTCGCGCACACCCTGAGGCCACGGAGGCCTTATAGCGAACTGACAACCGCCCCAAGCGCCAGGCTTTCTTGCAGGTTCGAGGTGGAAGGTTTGGAAGATTTTGCGCGATGCCAGGCAAGGGCGGTGACGGGGCTTCGTGAACACTGGGTCAAGAGGAGGCTGCACTGGCTCCCTGCAGGTCCAGCCGAACGGCAACATCATCGCCGCGGGGGTCACTGATTCCTCACTGGATGGCTACACCCATGCCGGTTCAGGCGATGCCTTCCTCATGAGCTTTGACAGCACCGGCGCCTGGCAATGGACGGTGCAGCGAGGAGGCTCCATTCGTTCCTGCAAGTTTAGTCTGAGTCTCTAGGAACCTGCCAAGAGAGAACGCAGACCGCAGAGCAGCGCCCGGACCCCAGCCCTCCGCGCAGGCTCCGGCGATGACAATTTCCATGCACTGCAGGCCAAGAGCGGGAGCAGCGAGGGAGGGGGGGCGCCGTTTGCAGAGAGAGTTCGGAGCTCGAGGGTGTAGGTGAACAACCGCCCCAAGCGCCAGGCCTTTTTGCAGGTTCCAGGTTTTGGAAGTTTTTGCACGATGCCAGGCAAGGGCCGGTGACGGGGCTTCGTGAACACTGGGTCAAGAGGAGGCTGCAATGAGGCTCCCCGCTGCAGGTGCAGCCGAACGGCAATGTCATCGCTGCCGGCTTCACATATTCCTCGCTGGATGGCTACACCAATGCCGGTTCAGGTGATGCTTTGCTCATGAGCTTCGAGGCGTGTGAAGTCGTCACAGCGTGGCAGTGTAAACTTTCCCGCAGTGCTGGAGCTTTTTTCGGGCATCTGGGCTCCCAAGTTGGCTCGCCACCCGTGCTGGTTGCAGCGCGTCATCTTGACATGCTTGGCACTATTGCCCCTTGTTTGCGTCTGTGTGCCAGACAGCCCTGGCACCCTGACCCGCGCAGGGAAGTCCGACCACCACTACGACCACCACCGCCACCACCAAGGCCTTGCATCTCCCAGATGTTGCGACGGTGAGTTATGATTTCTGTGCACGTCTCGAGCAGCGCCACCCAGGTGCCGGGGAGACTTCCTTTTTTTTGATGTTGTGTGTGTGTGTGTGTATGTTGTACCAAGCGTGGGCAGACCACGCTCGAGCCGAAAAAATATCACTAAGCATGTGCCCGAGGGTCCTGACTCGTTTATTCCGTATCATTGATATTCCTTGTCGTTGCTGCATTGGAGGCGCATCTTTAGGTCTTGGCCTGTGGTATTTCTTGTAGTTGCTGCGTCCGACCAAGCATTTTTCGCAGAGACTTTCAAGAGAGCTTTATCTGTTGCGTGCGCACCGGCAGACAACGACGACGACCACGTCGTCGACGTCATCCAGCGAGGCCTGTTGGTAGATTCTAGATGGCGGTGGCACTCCATGCCCCTGTCGGCATTGCTCTCCCCTCTCCTTCCCTCCCCCTCCCTCTCTCCCTCTCTCCCTCTCTCCCTCTCTCCCTCTCTCTCTCTCTCTCTCTCCCTCTCTCTCCCCTTCTGTTTTTTTCACTTGCTACTATTTCTTTTCCGGGTCAGTCGCAATAGTGAAGAAGCAGAGAGACGCCATGACATGTTGGGGTTCCAAAAGGGTGGCGGATGTTTGTGTTGGGCGCAGACCGTGAGCAGCAGCAGCA